AAAATTGCATTTATATTCCAGCCCAAGACCCTCTGACCCCAGGCTATACTCCACCCACCCCCCCATGAACATTATAGGGTCACTAAGCTGCAGAGAACAGTGCACCACAATCTTAACACCTGCTGCCAAAAATAACCTAAGAAAGGGAACTATTTTCATAAGCAAAATTTCATATAAGTGGATAAACTCACAATGAGCGATGACAAGGACACAAAAGAAATAGCTAAACTGCTTTGCATTACAAATCAACAAAAACACAAAACTCTAAAACTCCCGGAAGGTAACATGGAAAAAGTCTAGATGACCTTAGGGATGAAAATGATTTTTCACATGCAATCCCAAGAGCACAATCCATAAACAAAATCATGGATAAGCAGGACTTCATTCCAAATAAAAGTGTCAGCTCTGTGCAACCCACTGTCAAGAGAATGAGAAGAGAAGAAAACCACAGGCTGGAGGTAATATTTGCTAAAGAGACATGTAATACAGGATTGGTATCCAAAATATATGAAGAGCTCTTAAAATTCCACAATGAGGAGAAAAACAACCCAATTAAAAAATGGGCCAAGGCCTTAACAGACACCTTATCAAAGGAGAAATGTAGATGGCAAATAAGCACATGACAAGATGCTCCCAGTTCGTGTCATCAGGAAAACCCCAGATTAAAACAGTATTGAGAGATCACTCCATGCCTATCAGAATGGCCATAATCCAAAACACTACCAACCCCAAATGCTGGGCAGGATGTACAGCAACAAGAAGTCTTAGTCACTGCTGGTGGGAATGCCAAATAGCACAGTTTGAAAGACAGCGTGACAGTTTCTTAAAAAAATCAAACATACTCAACCCAGACATTGGACTCATTGGTATTTATTCCAAAAAGTTGAAAACTTATGTCTACACAAAAACAGATATTTCTGGCAGCTTTAGTCATAAATCTCAAACTTGGAAGCAACCAAAAGGTCCCTGAGTAGGTGAATAGATCAATAAACAGTTCAACACTAAAAGAAATGAGCTTTCGGGCCACGAAAAAGACACGAAGGAACCTTGAATGCCTATTACTGAGTTGAAAAGGCCAGTGTGAAAGGCTACATCATGTGTGATTTCAATGATCTGGACATTCGGGAAAAGGCAAAACTGCAGAGTCAGTAAAAAGATCAGTTGTTGCCGGGAAATTGGGGGATGGAGGGATGAACAGGCACAGAGCACAGAGAATTCTTAGGGCAGTAAAAAATAGTACAATACCAGCCATAATAATGAGTACACTTCATTATATGTCTGTACAAACCCACAGGATGTACAACAGTGAGAGTGAACCCTACTGTAAACTATGTACTTTGGATGACAATGATGTGTCACTACAGGTTTGTCAATCGTACCAAATGCACCATTGTGGTCTAGGATGCTGATGGTGAGGGAGGGTGTATATAGGAAATTTCTGCACCTCCCTCTCAATTTTGCTGTGAACCTAAAACTTCCATAAACAGAGCCGAAGGAACAAAGCAATCCCTGGCTCACACCATGTGTGCAAAAGGTATGGCATGTGATTAGTGAAAGAGGGCCAGTGTTCATTCAGCGGGATGGGCTGTGTTGGGCACAGGGCTTGACTGGGCCACTGAAAAGCACAAACTTTGTTCATAGACTATAACCCGCCCCTTTCATCACACAGGCCAAAGAACAAACAGATATGACTTCCTACAGTTTTCAAACTCTCTCTCTGTCTCGTTTTATTTGTATTCTGGTTTTGTTTGTTTACTTTGAACTTTGAGTGATATTTGTGTTACTCTGGGGACCTCCAGGAGAGAAGCGCCAGAGCAGAGCCTCAGTGATGACCCAGGAGACCTCACGCTGGCCTTTGCCAGCTAGACTTCACTTACGAGAAGCCCAACAGGGCACTAACAGACTAACCTAGCAAAGTCCCTCACTATACAGAGAGGATCCAATGGCTAAAGCAGACAAGGGGCTGGCCCCGAGTTATTCAGGAGGCTGGAATAGACCCAATCTCCTGACACCGAGACCAGTGCTGAAACAACCACGTTCACTCAGTTTAAAACATGCCTCTACTCCAGCAAGCCTTCGACCATGATCCACAGGATGTTCCCTGCTCCTGGCATGGAGGAAATTAAACACAGTTCCAAATGCCGGCAAGCCGTGTCCTCGGCTGAAGCTCATTGCCTGTATGAGTGTGTGTGAGCAAAACAGAACTTTGACACAGCTCGATGGGCCTGTGAACCCACGGGGGAAAGGAAGTCCCAGAGATGGGGAAACTCTAAGGAAAACACCTCTCGCACAGACTGGGGGAAATTAGCGGAAGTCATCACGACAGGGCCAATGGTAACAATCCATGAAATACAGATAAGAATTTATAATAAAGAACTGCTATTCCAATAAAATATATTTCCAGCAAATATATTGCTAGCAGGTCACATTTCTAGAGAATTCTAAAGGAAGCATCCTTTTTTTTTTTTTAGAACAAAAGTTGTGGTTTTCTTTAAAGATTTTATTTACTTATTCACTTTTTTTTTTTTTTTAGAAAGACAGGGAGAGGGAGGGAGAAAGAGGGGGAGAGAAACATCAGTGTGTGAGAGATACACAGTTTGGTTGCCTCCCACGCTCCCCCCACTGGGGACCTGACCCACAACCCAGGCATGTGCCCTGACCTGGAATCAAACTGGCATTTTCTTTGACCAAACTACACATCCTAAAGCAAAAACCTTAGCTGTTAAAGTAGTTACATTGGCTGTTTATTATACAAATATTTTCTGATCTTGTGATATTTCCCCCCCAAACTAAACATGATCCTCTCCATCATCCAGTTTTACTCAAGTTAAAGGAAAAGGTGTCGTGGTCGCCGAATAATGGTCCCCTAATCCCGGAAACCTTTGACTGTGAAATTACCAGGCAACACAACCTCTGCTGATGTGATGAAAGATCTTTCTTTCCCAAATTGGGAAGATTATCCTGGATTATCAGGGCAGGACCTGAATAAAAATCTCAAGTGTCCTTAGGAAAAGAAGAGAGAGATCTGCCTCCACAGAAGGAAGAAAGGGACATGTGAATGGAAAGATGTCGAAGAGATGTGAGGACAGTTTTTGACCCAAGGAATGCACGGAGCCTCCAGAGCCCAGAAAAGGCAAGGAAGCAGATTCCCCCCTCAGAGCCCGCTGCAGGGCGCAGGCCTGCTGACACCCGGATTTCCCCCAGTGGGGCTGGTTTCAGACTGCCGGCCCCCAGAACTGGAGGAATACAGGAGCATGTTGTATGGACAGTGGATAGTTAACACAGTTTGTGACGAACTTCCACAGGGTGACCGAGGACACATTATCATTTAAAGATAGAGCTGATAGCCATTCTGACCCATGTGAGGTTACATCTAACTGCAGCTTCTATCTGCATTTCTCGGATGATTAATGACATTGAGCATCTTTTCAAATGCCTATTGGCCCATCCGTACGTCCTCTTTGGAGAAGTCTCTATTCAGGCCCTCGGCCCGTCTTTATTGGATTGTTTGTTCTTTTGATGTTGAGTTTTGTAAGTTCTTTAGAAACTGTGGATATTAACCCCCCTATCAGATGTACCAGCAAATATGTTCTCCCATTCTGTGGGTTTTACTCATATGTAGAATCTAATGAGCAAATTGATGTACCAAGCAAAATAGAGACAAACGCACAGAGGAAGAGCAGGATGACAGCTATGGGGGGAGGGGCTAGGAGGTGGAGGGGTGGAGCAAAAGGAAAAGGACTCACGGGCGCGGACAGCAGTGTGGTGATTGGGAAGAAGCACGGTATGTGGGGGCTAAACAGTAATGGAAAAATGCAATAAAAAATGTTTTAAAGAGAGAAAGAAACAGAAACAAATTCTACTGCACAGAAACCAACAGAGTAGGTACCAGGCCCAAGGGGACCCCCATGCTGCTGGGGTGGCCCCCCACTCCTTGCTCCTGTTTACACGTATCAGGACCTTCTTCTCCTACTTTTGTAGTTGCCCTAACAGCAATTTCAGGGCATAAAGAATTTCCGCATTAGTAAATGAGCCTGGAGTGTAATGTTACTGACAAACTACCAACCACACAGGAACAATTCCCAAGCAATTCCCTTTCAGTACTGTTTTCAAGTCGTGGCCAAATTACAAACATGCGTGGTATTCAGCAAGAGGGAACTTGAGCAGAAAAGGAGGGTCACAAGGTCACCCTACTCTGCTTCTTAGGGCTCCAGATCCTCCTTTGGAAAGTCTCATGTCGCAGAGACCTCCCCGGGGGGTGGGGGGGTGGGGGGGAGTCAGTCCTGTTCCTATCAGGTAAAGGCATGGGCGAGTTTGTGCTTACAAGACCAGGCTCTCGTCTCGAGGCCCACCCTCTGGTGTCTGCTGCGCAAGCCAGGCCGCAAAGCCTGGGAGCAGTGGGAGAGAGAACACTCCTTGTATGAAGAAGGGCAAGGCCAAGGCCACGAGAGCAGTGGTCAACATCAGGGCGGTTCATTTCACCTCTTTATCCAGTTATTTATTAAACAGAAAGAGCTCAGGAGTAACACTGGGAGGACAGTTGACAGCAAGTAAAGGCACTTGTGACACCCATAAACCAACGAGACTTCACAGCACCCCTCTCCTTCCCACTTTTCTATTTCATCTAAAGCACCTGCCTGGCTTCCCCGCCCCCCTCGTGCATCTGAACACACTGGGAATTAGTATGGGAGCTGGACTATTTGTTCTCACACAATCCAGCGGGGGGGACTCTGAGGGGGACTCTGAGGGGAGGAAGCGTTTCGGCATTTCTTGACATTAGTGCGTATCATCCCCGGCCCCAACAACCTGCATGTTGTTGCCCCCACTTCCTGTCTGTCTTATTATGACAAAGCATTTGAACCAGGCTCCTACGCCGCCCCCGGCATCAACAAATATTGTCATTGTTCAGACCCCATGGAGAAACTGAGTCGAGCGGAATTCTACAACCGCAAAGTCTGTTCCTAGCAAATGTGAACTCGGCGTGCTTCACACGCACTGACCTGCTTTGTCTCGGGCGCCCAAGAAGGTGTCTGTGTCTTTCAAGAATCTCCATCATCAGTGAAAGGACAGGAAACTCACAGTTACTAAGAACCACACCTAAAACAAAAGCAAACTAAGAGGACAGCTAGATCAGGAGTGAACCGTAGAAATGAAGATCACATGGAGGGTTAGCAACAGGGGAGTGGGAGAAGGAGAAGGGCGGAAAAGGTGCAGAAAATAAGTAGCATAGACAGTAGGTAGAAAATAGATGGGGGGAGGGCAAGAATAGTATGGGAAATATAGAATTTAAAGAACTTGAGACACATGGTCATAAACTAAAGAGGAGGGGTGGTGGGGGAGGGGTGTGCAGGGTGTAGGGGAATGAAGGGGGGAATAGAACTGTAATGGCATAATCAATAAAATATATTTTTAAAAAAAAGAATCTCCATCATATTGCCTCAACCATCTACGCTTCAACCCGTGGTTTTCTACCTAACACTGGTACCCATGAGCCGCAAACTCTTATTAAATGTTGGCTTTGCCCAGAGGGAAGAAAGTAAGTAAACGTGAGAGTCTGCAAACTTTCAAGGCCTGAAGAGCCTGTGAAATCCTGTAAGGCAGTCAGTGTTTTCTCTGTCCTTCAGTCCCCCCTGCACATCTATACGCAGAGTTTTTAAAACAGTTCTTAGAAGGGGCAGTGCTGTCAGGTAGGGCGATTGGGTCACCTTCACGCTGACAGCCTGGGGATGTTAGGGTCAGAAGGTGGCGTGTTTCCACCTGGGCTGAGGCTGCAACCAAAAGCGGCTGACCTGACAGGGGTCGCGGGCATCCACCCGGGGCGGGAGTCCAGCCAGCCCCCTCGGCTCACTCACCCACCGCCGTGTGTTGGCAGCACTGTTCCTGGAACCGCAGCCTGTTTCCGGGCCGTTCACAGCACCATCAGTGGAGAATAACTCATCTCTTGCCAGGAAGTTAAGTGTGAAAAAGGATTTTCTCCTCCTAGATCAGTTGGACAAGTGATTTTTTAGCACCTGGCCAGGCTGGCCTGAAAGAGTGCCAGTGAATGGGCAGTCATGGCTTTCCATCACTGTTGGGATGACGACCAAATGCCCGACAGGGCCAAGGTCCCGGGTGGCGCGGGGTCCCCAGCGGCCCCTGCAGCCTCATCTTGCCTCTGGCCTGAAGCTGTGTGGCCTTGGAAGAAAACCTTCCCAGACAGACAAGGCCACCTTCCCGTCACTGGCTCGGGCTGTGTGCCCATCAGGGGTCAGCTAACTTTTTCTGGGAGGAGCTGCGTAGCCGTATTTTAGGCTTCATGGGCCACGGTCTCTGTCACAACCACTCAGCTCTGCCGTTTTTACACAAACAACTCAACAGTGAGTAAATGCATGGAGGTGGCTGGATGCCGACAAAACTCTATGACACAGAAGTTGAAAGTTCACATTACTTTCATTTGTCACAAAATACTATTGAGTCTTGATTTTTTCCCAACCATCTAAAAATGATGAACCTAGTCTTAGCTCATGGGTCGAACAAAAACAAGTACAGGTTGGATCTGGCCCAGGGGCTTCAGTTTGCTGCCTTCTCAGAGTCCCCTGCCCTGGCAAAGTCCATTCAAGGCCCCGCTGCTAAGGTTTGGTGGCAGGAAGCTTCCCTGAGCCACCTCATCGAAGCTGGAATCTTAGGCATTAGAGGTTGCAGAGTGTAACTCGATAACTGGGAATCCACGCTCCTCATTCTAGCCGTCACTGCAAGTTACTGTTCCTGCAAAGATGCCAGTGAAAGTCTGTGTGGGCGGAGTCCTAACAAAGGCCCCAGACTGAGTGACCTCAACAACACGAGTCTAACGCCTCCGAGTTCTGGAGGCTGGGAGTCCAAGATGATGGTGCCAGCGTGGCTTATGTTGGCTGAGACCTCTCTCTATGGCTTGTAGATGGCCGTCTTCTATGACGTCTTCATACGGTGGTCACTCCCTGTGTCCTAATCACCTCTTCTTAGAAGGACACCAGGCTTATTGGATTAGGGCTCATTCCAATGACCTCATTTAATCCAAATTATTTCTTTAAAGGCCCTCTCTACATATGGTCCTATTCTGAGACACTACAGGGTTGGAACATGAATATATGAATTCGGGTTGGAGGGGCACCGTCAGCCCACAGCAACGCCTTTTGCAGGAAATCGTCTGTGGTCATGTCTTTGTCTGGCTCCAATGGCCAAAGCACTGGGGGTCACACACACAGGAAATGACAAGACTGGCCACCCTCACGGGGCAAAAGGACTGGCCCTTCTGCTCTAAAAGGTACCTCCTGACCCTACACACTCACACAGAGCAGCCGCTTTCCTCAGCCAAGAACTCGGTCGTATCCGAACTTCTTGGCCTCCAGCAATCTCCTGGAGTGCTGGGGACGGCAGCATGCAGGCTTTCGCTGGGGGAATCCTGAAATGAACTGGCCTCAGAGGAACAGGACGTTCCTGGTTATCTCCAGGGAGAGCAATATGGAAGCGAATTTTTTTTTTGGTAAGTTTTCTAATTTTTCTACAATAAGTATGCATTACCACTGAAGTGAACAATAACCAACAGAATTTCTTTAAATGGGTTTCTATTGGGTGACCCGGTAGTTTATTCTCAGCAGGGGACATTTAGATTCACTTCTGTCCCTTTGGTATTGTGCAGGGAGGTGGGAGAGGAGTTGTTCACCTCTTTTTCTTTTCCTTCTGCATATACACAAACGAATACACACAGATGTTTTACATAGCTGAAATAGTACTTCGGATCTAAATTCACATCTTCCTATTTTTACTTTGCATTACAGTGTGGATATTGGGGAAACCATCTCAGTGTTTCCAGACCTGGGCTCCTTTAAGAGCAGAGCCCGTGCCGAAGTTCAGCACAGGGCAGCTCAGGGGAGCAGTGGGGGGGGGGGGGGCGGGCTGGGCAGAAGGACCAGCCTCATGGCATACCCACCACTGCTGGGCTGAGGAAGACCCTGTGCTTCCCAACAGCTCCCAGGGGAAAGGCAAAGAAAGACCCCTGCTCTCCCAACTCTGATCAGTCCAAGTCCATGCCTTGTGGCTCACGCTGTCCGCCTCTCAACGTCATGACCATGACCCCCAACCCTCTACAGAGCTGGTCAGAGGGGACCCAGGTGCCTGCTCTCTGGATCTGCATAGGGTCAATGGAGGCCCAGTGCATGGCAGGCTGATCAGAAGATGGTGGAGGTTGGCCGGAGGCTGGGACTGTTCCCTGAGCCAGCAGGTGAGGCCCCACAAGCGGTGGGTGGAGTAAATCTGGGGTGACACCCACCCAGAGTCCTGTCACCTGCCTTCTGAACGCCACATCCTGAACCTGCACTAATGAGAAACCCCTTTTCCCCTAGCTGTAATACGTTTCATATTCTCAGACAGCTCTTCAACTGAAAATAGCTTGGTTAAAGTGCCTGTGGCCAGCCCCACATTTAAACTGTCTCCTGACCCTTTGTCCCAAGGTCTCCACCACAAGACCACCCTGCTGGGCAGTGGGCAAGGACAGCCGCCGCCTGTGGCCCAGGGGCCCCACTCCCTGCTCCTGGAAGGAGGCCCTGAGAGAAGAAAGCCTGGAACTTACCCTCAGAACAGTGAACACCTGCTTGCAGGAGCTCCTTACTCCTATCAGCCTCCTGCTTTATCCAGGGGCTTCCCTGAAATGGGCGGCAATGTAGTTCTGAACCCACAGAAGCCTGTGAACCAACCCCTCATGGGGGCTGGGAGCCTGAACGAACACAGCCCCACCATAGGCCAGGGGCCGGCTGGGGTGCCGGCCAGGGAATCTTTCCCGAACACAGACTGATTTCTGAAACAGGCATTGAGCTGGCAATGCCTCTTCCGGTGTGGCCCACAAGCTGCACGGGGATAGATGCAGGGGACAGATGCAGGGCATGGGGCCCGCCCGCAACCTGCACCAGGTTCCTCGCCAGCAGCCACACAGCCGAGCACTGGCACAGCGCTGGGTGCATGCTGAGGCCGGCACCTTTGCCTCTTGGGGGCACAGAATTCTTTGTTGTGGGGGCTGTCCTGGCTACAGCAGGACGTTTGCCGGCACCCCCTAGCACCCTTCAGCACGCACCCCCACCAACTGTAACGAGCAAGATGTGTCCAGACAGTGCCAAATATCTCCTGGGGACGAGAAATGCCCCTGATGGTGCGGGCCGTGATGAGCTCCAGGAGCAGTCAGTCTGTGACAGCTGTGACTGTGTTTTTTCTTGGTGTCCCTGAACCTGTTGTCCTGCTTTGCTTCAGATCCACGGAACCAGACGGCAGACCAGACCACTGGCGCCCACTCTCTCTTCTCCTCTCACCCGGACCACTCTGCCTCCCACTGACTTCTTCAACCCATGCTCTCCACCCCGTCCGACAGCCTCCCGTGATTCAGCCACTGCCCCTCTCCAGGAGGAAGCTGCTCCTCCCTGGGTTCTGGCGCCAGGTCTTGTCTCCCGCGTCCATTGTTCGGTAGCAACTAGGGAATTCATATCCAGCGCAAACCACACCACAGCTCTCCTGGGATAGAAAGCTCTTTGGTGGTTTCTTGTCGGCTCCAGGACAAAGTCCAGGCCTCTCCAAAGACCCAGTCCAGAGACCTCTCAGCATATCTCCTAACGCACCCCTCTCCTCTTGACTCACCAAGATCGTCTTGTTCCCCACCCATGGCTCCCTCACTGCAGCCTGCACATGCTGTTCCCTCTGCCTGGACCGTCCTCCAGCCCAATCTTCCTCATTTCCTGCAAGTTCACATCTTCCAAGGAGCCTTCTCTGACCTCCCCAGCTGGCCCAGGAGCCCTTGTACTGTTGCACCTCCCGCTTACAGACACAAGGTGGCAGCACCGGGCTGTGTTTTTAGAGCTTCCGCTCCACCAGCCAGGCTGCCTAAATTAAACTGTCGGCCAACTACCAGTTAAACGACACTGGGGAGGTCCTCTAATGCCTCTCTGTGCCTTATTTTCTTGAACTGTAAGGTAAGAGTAAAATGGAATGTATTTCATAAAATCACTTTGTGGATAACATGAGCTAGTAAGTGAAAAGTGCCCAGAAATTCCCATGGTAAATGCCCAATTATTTCCTGCTGAGATAACTGCCTCCCAGAAGACAGGGATTAATAGTTCACATTTAAGCATTAATAGCAGATGGACCACTTCCCAGGAGCCTCTGAATTCTATCCTTAGGGTTTACATTTTCCATTTGTAATAACATCACCCACCCTTCACACCACCTCCAGCTGTGCATTTATTTCCCAAACCCTTTACTCTTTCATTTCCTCACCAGAGGGGATTTTAAGTGATCACACCACTTCCCTGCTCCAAAGTCCTGTCTGGTCCTTGGTTGTTTGGAGGGTAAAGTCCAAAAACCTTAGCCCTGATCACAAAGGTCCAGGGTTTGTAGGTTACCTGTGGGGCATCTGCACACCTGCACAACCGATTGCACATGCTTCCTGGCTCCACAGGCCTGTCTCACGCTCACAGCTGCGTGTTCACGGAGCTTTCTGCCTGGAGACACTGACACCCTTCTCATGGGGCTTTCCCCCTCCTCACGGCTCCCCCAGGACCCCCAAATTATCTCTTCCCTTCTCTCCCCCTCCTCACAGGACCCCCAAATTATCTCTTGCCTTCTCTGTGTTCCCACTGCAGGTTGCTTATGGCACTCGGACAAGAACGGTCTCAGTTGTTGGTGCTGGCATCTGGCTTTTGCAGATGGATTTCCACACAGCTAGTCCAAGTTCATAAATTTTTCTGGTTGTAAGTGAATGCATCTTTTTTTTTCTTCATTAACAGTAAGAGTGTGGGGAGCCAGAAAGAAACAGAGACTTGACCTTTAAAGGCTCAGGAAATTTGGCTAAGCCACAAAAAAGAAGGATATAAACCTAAGCGACTGTGGTAGATTACAGGTGACCTCGAGTTCCTTCCACTCCCCTTTGGAAAGAGGGGGAGGTCATGTGACGAGAAGGAGCCTGAGGCTAATGGCAGGGGTGGAGGTCTGATCTGCTGCCCCATGTAGAACCTGTGGGGCTCCAGCCCCACTCACCTTGAGTGCAAACAAATGAGGTGAACGGGAGACCCACCAAG